TAAAAAAATCGTGTAATGCTGAGCGGCGACGGCAACGAAAACAGCCAAAAAAACTCAGTAGGTGTAATTAGCAAAAAACCAACTTTGCACGTGCAGCACCCTTTTTTTTTCCACGACCACAACGTGAAATTTCCAGAACTTCCTAGTTACACGTTTTATGGAGGAAATGTTGTATGAAGCCCTGTTCACTTTTTTCCCCTGCCTCTCATTTTCACCCTGATGACCACTAGCATTTATCATTTTCTCTCCGCCGCTATAAAATTTCCATGTTAATCTTCCAACGAAATGGGTCTCCTTTGTTTTTTTTTTTATCTCCCGCTCTTGCTCTTTGTCTGTTATCCACGTCAATGTAGACATTAAAATAAATTCGAAAGAAAGAATCGGCTTTGTTGTTGTTTTTTTATCTCCAAAAGTCCGGGTGGCTGTGCGATTTGCCGCCGAAACGCGCGGGTCCATGAACTGCAAAATTTCACCCCGGCTTACATGAGGGGGTGGACGTAGTATGGATGATTTTCTCAGAACCAAAATTTCTTGAATGCACAGATAACCCAAATTTTTTACCCGTGGTGCTTCGCGCAACCCTAAGGGTTGTTTTCCTTTTTCGCGTCATTTTTACGTGCGTACTTGCAAAAAATTTACGTTCGCAAAGAAAATAGAGACAATGCATGAAAGGTTACTCGTAAACGTAAAAGTTGAACCTCGCTGAACTTCTTGTTTAAGCTCAGCACTTTTTATCTTGCCTCTATTTTATTTATGTGATTAAAATTTACGTGCGTTAACGTGAGTAGCCAAAAACGCGTCACTGGAAATCAGCCTCAAGGGGGTGATGGCCGGTCTGCGAACCGGGCTAGGATTTTCAGCCCGGGCAAACGAGCTGAAAAATCCGCATAAAGTCCATGTAATCGAAATGAAATGTCAGCCCGGGCTGAAAAGGTAACGTGAGCATGCACAGTGAGGTTGTTTTCTAGGAAACAAGATGGCTGACTGGGTTGAAAATTTTCATGTAATCGCAACAATATTTCAGCCCGCCCCACCGGGCCATGCAATCACCCCCTAAACAAATAACCTGTTGCGCTTTCAAAATGATGTTATCGTAACTAGCCGAAAGCAACGCAGATACCTAAGCGCCATCTTGAAACAAAATGTTTTTTCTCCGCCCCAGATAGTATTTCATCGTTCAGTTGACAAAAGTTAGTGGAGGACCTACCCCCGCTGCGCAATTTATTGACACACATTTCCACGTGACCAGCTGCAACCAGTGTTCTCTCTCGAAGTTAGAGAGAGAACCTGGGGACGGACGATTTTCTCGGAACCAAAATTTCTTGGATGCATAGTTAACCAGATTTTCTTACCCATGGTGCTTTGGTGACCCCAAAAATATCCTAATGAAGGTGACGTCATCAAATCCAGGCTTCTAAGAAAGTTAGATAGAAGCGTGGGACCAAGGTTGATATTTACTGCACAAACTTACGTTATCCTCATCTCCAACATACTGTTGGCTGTTCTTCTTTGACTTGTTTAACCCATTCGCCCCTGAACCGCCCGTAACCGCCCGTGCGGATCCAGGTCCTTTCTACCCATTGTGACGTCATTAGTTTTAACGGTCAAAGACAACTTCTTCACTAACTTGTGCAGAGTGAAGAGATCTTTCAAACCATACCAGAATGAGCACAATTCAGTCGAGGACACCGGAGAAACAAGCAAAAAACCACGTGACATTGACCTGAAAATCTCCATGAAAATCTTGTTCCATTACCCACCTACCTTTCCTTTCGCCTAATCCTAAGATCCTAAAAGCTTTCCTAAAACCTCTTCCCACCAAAATCAAGCCTACTAAATGCCCAGCAAGAGAAAAAAAAAATGAGGCAAGAAAAGCAAAAAAGGAAGGGAGGAGAGAAAGCGAAAAGTAAAAGTCATGACTGCTGTGTCACTTTTAAACCCAAAAACTCTCGAAATTTTGCTTTCTGCGCATGCCCGAACTTCGCAAGCTGATATTTTGCATCTGGATCAGAAGGCCGCGAAGTGTTCGACCTGTAAACCAGTTTGTGGTAAGTTTTAGCTCTTTATAGCACGACAGTGA